TGAAGAAGCAGGTGGCATCTTTTTTGCAATGACTGGTTCTTCTCATGCTCTGGGTGAAAGAGAAGCTGGATGGCTCCCAGTACACCCCTACACCCAGTCAGAGGCCAGGAGGACAGAGTGCCTTCAAGTGTCCCTTTGTACCCACTGCCCACTGGACCAGCCATGTATCTAACAACAACAACAACAACAACCTTTATTTCTAACCTGCCCTCTCTCCCTGAAGGGACTCAGGGCAGCTTCCAAAGCAAAAGGCAAACTTTCTATGCTGGTAATATGTGAAATTTCAACACTTGTTGACTCCCCTCTTCTGCCCAACCATTACAGCCTGTCTCTTATTTCACCAGGGAAGCCTAGTATACACATTAGATTAAATATTGGATCTTGACTCAAATAGACAAAAAGGTCACACTTGATAGTAGAATTCTCCAGGGTGAGGTGTATTGTATTTCCATTTAATTTCCATCTAGGCAGATAAATAATAATATACCATTTTAATGGGATCTCTGCCTCCTCTACCTCTTTTTCTCTCTCTTTGTGTCGGTATGCAAGGAGGCACTGTAATGTATGTTTTAGGGCATTTATAGGTTTAAAAACAATACAAACAGGAGGTTGGATCAGAGAACTTTCTCCTGTTGCCTGATTTACCTAGTCTACACTGAAGAAGTTCAACTCTATTTTGTGTATAAAAGAAGCTGCCTCTTTGAGGAGGGCTGCTGCGCAAACAAGCAAGTATAACTCATTTCCTATCTGTTTTGTGTTCACAACAGCCAGAAAAAATCAAAGGGTGGGGAGAAAATAAGAAACATGGAATTGCTGTTGCTTATGATTTTTTATTTTTCCATTGGATTCAAACTACTTTTAAGATAAGAACAATAAAATATCCAATACACTTGGGGGTGGGGTGTCATTCAATGATTGAGTTGTTATTTGTTTCTGATATAACAAACAATCCCATTATCCCCAAACACTCTTCTCCCTTCACAGTGACCCCACACAAACAAAAAACATAATGAAACTATTGATCTTTTAAAGTGCCAAAATATTATGTTGTCTTATCAGATACATGTTTCCCTAGGAAATTTTTCACAAAGAAAATGTAACTATATATTCCAACCTGATAGAAGAACTGCAACAATGTATCATAGAGTACCAGTTTAGGATAGATATGTCCCCTTGTTCATTATCTGAAGAATCCATGCTAAAAGTTCGTTTGGTTGAAAAGAAGGGATATTAATGCACCATTTCTTGCCAATTCATATCACACTAAGCAGAAGTTCTCAAACTTTGCCATAACAGTAGTGGAAAGTATGCTCAAACAGAGAGAGTTGTTTACTAGAACACTGTCTATCACACTCTTTGGTAAAATCGGTGTTCCATGCCTACAGTAGATTGGGAAGTGTTGTAATATGTATTCATTTATTTTCCCTGGTTTCTATTTAGCACAGACACAGGGTCTTGTGATGGTATATTGGTATGTGCATAGAACCCAAAACACAGCCTTGCACCTCTAAACATCATCATCTGTCTCCATGAGCTGCCTGTGGGAAGCAAAGGGCCTTTCCTAGCACATGAACTTTTCGCTCACCACAGTAAACTTGCCCAACATGAATAAAATGTGATGGGACCACTCAACAAGTATGAGTAAATCCAGGAGGGGCAGGTTATTTTGGCCCTGTTTGGGATACCCACTGTTGGATCTGCTACCTAAATTGGCCAGCCTAGTTTGATATCAGGCAACTTTGGTGCTCCAACAAGTCAAACATCAAACAATTTAAAGAATCTGTAGGTGCCGTCCAATTAGCTGACAAACGTGTACCAGTGTAGGTGGTGGAGGCATAGATGGTTACACTCTAGCAGGTGTAAAATGGTCACAGGTGCCATAGTGGTGGTAGCAAGTTGGGTTTTGTCAAGAGAGAAATCTTGTACAGAAATCTTACTGTACAAGACAGAATTCTCTGATTACAAAGACAGCTTTCTTTTCTTTTCTTTTGTACCTACAATGCCACTGTGAACCACATTCAAAAAGGGCTTTACACTGATGGAAGAGAGAGTTATGTCAGCATAAGTCACCATAAGGATTCAGCTCTATGTCATAATTCCCAAAAGTGACATCAGATATTTGCCTCTCTCATATAAAACTCTCAGGTGTACAGCCCTTATGACACCATACAGATAAAGTAATGCAATCTCATTCCAGGATTCCGTGGGATATAATCAAGGAATTCAAGTGGCATCAAAGTGCTACAACTATGTGCTGTAAAGGGGCCTCAGTCTTTTCTATCCTTGCAGGGTCCATAACCATTACCATTACTGACACATCACCCATATGGGAGAAATTGAAAGACATTGCAGAATCTTATGAGGAGCCAGCCAAAGACTTAAACAAGTAGGAAAAATGTGTAAATGTCACCAGGCATCTTCACCACTGAGGAGAAAGCATTTCAACTCTTATGAATTTGGGTCAAATTCTGAAGCTCTCAAAAGGTCATGGTTCTTGCAGATTTAGGAGGCAGGCAATCAAGGGGTTGCTGAAGGCTAGACTGAGCCAAAACGGTCTCCTATAATTCCTGAGCCTGATTTTAAAACTGTTATGAGAAAATTGGCCTCAAGTTGCTGATGAATGGAATGATATTGTTAGTTTATAGAAGAGTCTGATGGACCCAGCACAGGGAGAGCAGAAAATGTAAAGGACAAGCCTATTGCTGTCTTCAACAATATTAATATTAATATAAGATTAACCTGGTTACGTTTGACCTACAGTTGTGTCCAAATTACCACCCTACAACACCCAGACTCCCTTAGCTAAAGAGGGGTCACATTCTCATAACTGTAGTCCAAAATACACATGTTCAACCACTGATCTTAGGCCACCTTGTGTGTTTATGCTCTAGGTAGCACTTGGGTTGGGGATTTCTGATCTCTTGCTTAGTCTGTTAGCCACAATGCTACACCACAAGGGCATGAGCCACTTCCCTTCCCAGAAGTGATCCTTCCAAATCCTCGCGACAGAAGAATTTACAATAGTGACACATCCTGCCACTTCATGCAAACTAGTGTCCATAAAATGGAATGAGCCATAACTAATTTACTAGCCATCTATTCACTGCAAATCACTATATGAACCATTGCCCTAGCATGTGCATTATATTTTAAGAAAATACCAGTAGGCATGTATATACCACTTATATTGACAGTACCAACATTCTTATCAATGTTACATGGTATGAAATGTTGAGAAAGTAATTAATAAGTAGTGCTGAACTGCTAGTTCATCTGATAAATCCATTTATAATAGATTTCCCACCAGAGGGAGACATCTGCACATACTTAAGTATATAGCATTCTACATCTGCACTACACCTACAACCAGAATCTGCTGCATTTCTCTTCAAACTTCTATACAGTTATATATTTGTACAGTTGGTGCTCTTTATCTGTGGATTCAATCCTCCAATGCTTGGAAATATTTAAAAAAAACAAATCCAAGAAGCAAGCCTTGATTTTACCCTTTTATTTAAAGGATACCATTTTACTGTAGAGATCTTACTTTGGAGATCTTTACAACATTTACCTTATGTAATTTCAGCTTCTGCAAGAACTGAAAGCCCAGTGTATCAAGCTTCCAGAAGGCCAGGGGTAACACAGATGGGATGAAGGCAAAATCAGAGGCTTTAGTCTCAATAGCCAAAGAGGATGTCAGCAGAGACAGTGCTCCAAAGAACAGACATCCCACAACTGCAAACATACAGATTTGTAGTACTTTGACAGTTATTCAAGACTACCACACTGGCTCTTGATTGGTCTGAAACTGCTAGGATTCACTTCCTGATAGGTCCAAGGCTCCATCCAATATTATCGCTGGTTGGTCTCAGCTATGGCAGGAAATTTTAATAAACTGTCATTGGATTATTTTGAAGATTTTTTTCCATTTATTGATCCTTCCAGGAGAGGGGTGTGAGAAAAAAGGAATGTGGTGGGGTTGGAGATAATGAGCTGAAATGAGTTTTGATATCCCTGCTCCAGTTAATATAATGGGTGCCAGTCAGGTAAACAACAGATGCTCAGGGTGTTGGCAATTTCAGTGGGATACCCAGGAGAGGATTGGATTTGGTGACAGAGATGAGGAAACATTCAGGGGGGGGGGGGGAGAACCAGATCATATCAGGGGAAAAGAACCAGTGGCTCTTCCCAGGGGATTATGTTAACTAAGGTGTCACCATCCCCTGAGGACTGAGGTCTGGTGTCTGGTTTAATGAAAATTACTATAAAAACTAGAAATGAAGTTGAAGCAGACACCCTAATTCATCCCTATGGGGGTCATGATTTTGGAGTTCGGTTTTCAACAACATCGAGAAATATTCCCAGTGGCATTGCCACTTTCATTTCACTTCCCAAGTCAGTTTCAATCAGGCCCATAGCCAGGATTTTGATTTGGGGGGAGCTGAGTTTGATTGGGGGGGGGGCTGAGTCTGAGTGAAAGAGGGTCTACCCTAGCAAACCTTTTGTATCGTTACCCCAATACCCCCATGCATATGGGATATATTGAGCATGGTGATCAGATCATGATGTGAATAAACATAACAGTTGAAATAATGTCCAGTAAGGCCTTCTCGCGGACCACCATGAGAATTTCAGGGGGGAGCTGAAACCCCTCAAGCCCCCCCCCCCCAGCTACATGCCTGGTTTCAATGAACCCATTATCCAAAATGAATTATAACTCTCTCCATGATAATCTGTTTATATTATACTGGAACCAACTAAGATGAACACACCACCAAAAAAACCCCACAGTAATAGTTTCCAGGATACCGATTCAATCGATATCAAGTGAGGTAAAGAGGAATGATATCAAAAAGAAGGAAATTTTTCTTGTAGTGAACTAGCGTACCATAGCTAAAGCACATGAACACTTTAACTCCTGAATAATACAAAAGGCTCAGTGGAAATGGGTGAAAATCAATTTCTGGAATATTATCTAAGTTTAGAGGGTCCATGGAAAACCTATGAAATTTAAGAACGAGATTGGATGCAAAACTATAATTACTATTAAAATGGAATTAGAGGGTGGGACCACTGAGGAGTAGAATAGGTTAGTAGGTGGTGTTGGTGTCCTTATGCTGTCACCATTTTAATTATGTTCTGTGAATATACGCCACATATTCGAATATCTGAAGGTCTGAGATTCCCTACTTGCTGGCATTTATTAAACTCAATGGAATTTAATCCAAGTTTCTAATACTTTCACTACTGTAAAAAGGTGAGCTAAAGCATCAAGTATTCTATGAAAGCACAGTAATTTTTTATTCATACCAAACCACTAAAAAAAACCATGTAACAGAATTTAAAAACATTACTGTTCCTGGTTTGAAAGTGTTATTTCCTGTTTAATTGTGTGGTACTTATTTTGAAAGTAGTTGTCATACTCCAGAAACTTTTCTTTTGTGGCTGCCACAAACTATGTTGAATTGGTTGAGATTCAATGAGATATTCGCTGAAAAACTATAGCAAAATGTGCTGCAGGATGTCCTGCAAAAAAAAAAAGAAGTTTTTGCTGTTTAATAAACTTTTTCCATGTTTTTATGATAGAACCAGTTAGGAAATGGCATTTATAACTGAGGAACAAAAAACGTGTTAGTGTAATTTATGTTTAATTTAATAAATGTAGATATTAGTTAAATACATTGGACATGATTCTGCATCAGCAAATATAGCTAGAACAATTCAGTTCTGCTGTCTTAGTTACTTTTGCAAGGTTAACCTTTCTAAAATCTACCTGGTGTAATAAATCTTTTGCCTTTTATCATTTTTAATACATATATATGGGTATGTGATTATGTTTATGGATATGGGTCATATTTTCCTCCCTTTCTGGTCTTTGGAATCTGATGTGACTTGCAACAGCAAACCCCTTGAGGCAATAGTGGCAGACTCTATGAACTGTCCATGCCAATCTCCTACAGATGATTTGGACTCAGCATATTTTAGTTGTTTTTTCATGGCCTCTTGGGATATCACACTAACACAGGAACCTGCCCTATAGTCAGTCAGACTATGGATTGGGAAGAATTTCAGTTTGTTGTTAGATACAAAAGTTCCAAAATGCTCAAGCTCCTTTAATATAAATTTTGTGTGTGTATGTGTGTGTTTGTAATATGTAGTAGAGTTTGTTTCCAAAAGATGATATATACCCTCTTCCTTTGAAATTTAATCAAAATCTATACAAAATAATAGGGGAAGCTCTGTGAATCGGAGAAAGCAAACTATAGTAAAACAAGAAATGGAACATATAAACATTGCATAAATCTGGGCTTGCTGCTAACCAAATGTAAATAGAATCCAAACCTTGGAAAGAGATCAAAATTCTAGAAAAAGTTTGGTCTATGATCATGAAATGAAGGAGTAGAGAGATTGACTGAAAAAATTGTTGATCCGAATACATTCTTCAAGAAATCAGCCGTATACTGTACATAGATGACGTAACTGGAAGCAGAAGCTTTGTTCTTTCTGCAAAAACAAGATCAGGAGAAGACTGTGGATAAAGATCATACGCAGTTCATGTCAAAAATTAGAATAAAGCTTAAAAAGAACACTAAACCAAAAAGAATACGGTGCCAAAATATAACCTGAAGAATATAGATTTTAAAGATAATGTAAAAAAATTAGATTTGCACTGCTAAGCTGAACTGATCAGGAAAAGAACTCTGTCCTGAAACCAAAGACATAATCAGGGAGAATGCAAAAAATACACTCTGCAACCAAAAAGAAAGAGAAGCCTCACTGGATGACAGATGCATATCTTTAAGCAGTTAAGGAAAGGAGCCCTTGGTGGCGCAGTGGGTTAAACCCTTGTGTTGGCAGGACTGATGACTGACAGGTCGCAGGTTCGAATTCTGGGAAAGCGTGGATGAGCTCCCTCTGTCAGCTCCAGCTCCTTATGCGGGGACATGAGAGAAGCCTCCCACAAGGATGGTAAAACATCAAAACATCCAGGCATCCCCTGGGCAATGTCCTTGCAGATGGCCAATTCTCTCACACCAGACGTGACTTGCAGTTTCTCAAGTCACCCCTGACATGAAAAAAAATCCTCTAGTTTAGCTGATGTCTAGTCTTTGACACGACCCAAAAGCAGTTAAGCAAAGACAAGAAGCAAAAGTTAATGATAACAAACACAGAATAAATTTAGAAGAAAAATAGACAATACAGTTCTAGGATTAATTGGATTCCTCAGCAGCCAGAGTTTCCCTCACAACTGTGAATTATTTTTTCCATTTGCAATAAGCACCTGAAGCTGGAAAAACGAGTAACATACTGATTTGGTCCTTAAAACAATAAACTTTATTACTCATTCATGTTCTACTGCTTTAGTTTCTTTAGTAATGTATTCAGTTCCAAATTCTTTAAAACAAATAAAGAGTTGTACATTTTATTTATATCCACATCTTGTCTTTTTGAAGGAGAAGGCAAAATACAGCTTCTTCTGTTTATATATTCATGGGGATAAAAGTCTCCCATGCTGAATCACATATATACACAAACCCTCTGGAGCCTAAGTTCCAGACCAGAGACCCTTTCAACTTATGTAACGATAGCACTATGGCCTCACTTTAATGACCAGAGCTACCTCCAAGTCTTGTAGCTTGAAAGGTACTAGTATGCTCTGTCTTGTAAATTTAAAAAACATCTCTCTAAACCAGAGGTTCTCAACCTGTGGGTCCCCAGATGTTTTGGCCTTCAACTCCCAGAAATCCTAACAACTGGTAAACTGGTTGGGATTTCTAGGAGTTGTAGGCCAAAACACCTGGGGACCCACAGGCTGAGAACCACTGCCCTAAACAGAAATCCATAGGATGTTGCCATAGCAGTTGAAGTGGAACCATAGCACCATAATTGAAAAAATGTGAGGACTTCCGGTGGGCAGAAAATGGAGACGGGCATGACTTGCTGAGGGCTCTCAGCAAGCCACCCAATTTTTGTGGTCAGAGGAGCAGAAAGCTTCCCCTCTCCCCACGGATCGAGTTGGGGAGAGCCGCAAAGTCAGCAGGCCCCCTCTGTAGACCCCAAAACCCCTTCTTCCCTCAAGGGGGGGAGAAGGCCTGGAGGTGCATGGCCACGGCAAGCGGATCGCACATCGGGAAGCAGGGGACACCCTGCATAAACCGCCTCCACGCCCATCTAAATATTAAGAAAATAAGAAACCGAAGCGCCGAGACAAGAAGCCTGTGAAAGGAGCACGTAAATCCTCCAAACAAAAAGCTTTCCTTCGTAGAGGACTGTTAAAATATTAAGAGAGAAAGAAATAACAAGAAGCGGAAAGTTGAGAATTTAATTTAACCTTGACCTTTAAATATTATTACGTGGCTTAAAGCAGATGAAAGAAATGGAACAAAGGAAAGAGACTGCGAATGAAGAAACAAGAATTAAATTAAGTAATTAAATAGTTAATAAACAGCAGGTGCTGTTTTAAAAGGGAGACGAGAATAAAGAAAGAGGGAAAGAAAGACAAAGAAAAGAAAAGAGTGAGAGAAGAAAAACAGCTGTTTTAAACTGTAGATAATCTGTGTGAAGAGGCAAATATAATCTAAAAAATTACTTAATTAACTGAATTACGTCAAGCGCAAGGAATGGCGGAGAAAGGAATATAAAGTTAACCTGAGCTTGAGGGCACTTTGTTGTGTCTAGCAATCCCTTCTTCATAAACAATTAGAACTGACGACAAAGGAACACGTACAAGGAGGAAACAGGAAACAGGAAACATTGGGAGTTAAAGGAGAGAGGGGGAACCTATTTGTGGAGACACTAACCATAGACCTGAGTGGAGGGAAAAGAGCTCCCCCTAGGAAAAAATGGAACAAAGAAGTGAACAGGAAAGGAAAGCAATAATTGATGTACTGGGAGGCCGGAAATAGCAAAGGAACATAGAATACCATAGAGGAAAGACGCTACAGAGTGCTGAGAAGAAATTAAAAACAGAGGAAAAGAAGGAGGGGGGAGAGTGGGTAAATTACAGAAGAAGTTAGACGACGGCAAGGAGGAAGGGAAGATTAAAGAATAGAGAAAAGAACAGGGACGAGGCCACCAACAGATTACCAACAGAGGACCAGAGACGAAGAAAGCTTGAAAGTTTGAAAACTAAGACATATGAGAAGAGAGAGACAACAATGTGGATCGGAGCAATAGGGAGAAGATAAAAGGGTCAATAAGATACAGAACTGAACCTGAATTTAAAGAAGAAAAAATAAAATAAGCAGCCTAGATGGCAAATCAAAAACAAACAACAAATAAACAAAAAATGGAGACAGAAATAAAAGAATATAAGGGGGTGGCAAGAAGAGCCTCCCTGGCAGAAGTGATCAGTATGAAAGACATAATGAAAGAGATACAAAAGTTATCAGAAAAACAGGATGAATTACAAAAAAAACTTTTTAACAAGGGCAACAAAACACGAAGAATAACAAAGAATCCTTAGAGAGGATGTGATGGAAATGAAGAAAGAATTGAAAAATGATATGGGAACAATGAAGATGGAAGTAACGAAAGCACTTCAGGACATAAATATATTAAAAGCAGATAATGTAAAGATTGAGAAAACTCAAGCTAAAATTCAAAAAAAGTTAGAGAATTTGGATAACAAAAATGTAAGAATGGAAAAAGCACAAGAAAAATTAGAACAAAATGAAATGGAATTTCAGCTAAGATTTCAGCTAACATAATGGAAGAAACAAAGGAAAATATAAGAGAAATTATGACCAAACTTATGGCAAAACTACTAGAAATTTCTGAACAAGAGGCAGATGACAAGATGGACAGAATTTACAGAATACAGACTAATTATGCTAAGAAAAATAAACTTCCAAGAGACGTAATTGTCCACTTTGTATGCAAGAGAACAAGAGATGAAGTACTGAGACAAAACAATCAAAAGCCAATCTACTACAAGGAAACCAAAGTTGTAATCCTAAAAGAATATCCTATTTCAACATTAAACAAACAACGTAAATACTTTTTTTCTCACAGATGAACTAAAAAGATTAAATATAAGATTCAGATGGGAAAAACAAGAAGGAATTATGACAACATACAAGGGTGAAAAATTCTGACTGACCTCTGAAGAGAAGGTGAAGGATTTCTACAAAAAACTTTAAAAAGACAAGAAGATAAAGACCCCACAAAAATCCTCAGAGAAAAGGGAAAAAACCCAAAAGAAAAAGATCAACTTCCCCAGAATTACTAGGAGCAACTGCTGCCCTGCAACTGACCAAGGAAGAAGGAGATGATGACAATGATGATGGAAATGAGGATGAAGATGAAGACGACCCGGAAGAAGAAATACCAGATGACCTAAATGGCTGAATTCACTCAACAAATAAAGCTTTTTCCCACAATGTCAATGGTCTTAATTCTCCAAATAAAAGGAAAAAAATCTTTAATCAAATTAGAGAAGATCATTATAATATAATTGCTCTCCAAGAAACCCATATCAATAGTAAACACGTCACTTATTTAACACAAAAAAATTAGGAAAAGAATACTACTCCTGAGCTCTGGAGAAAAAAAGATGAATGGTAATATATGTTGATGAGAAAATTCTGTCTGAATTAAGTTTCAGAGATCAAGACGGAATAATAGTGGCAGTAAAAATATCTATAGGAATAGAGAGTATTTTGATTTGTAATATCTATGCTCCAAATGGCCCTAAAACAAAATTTGTAAAATTGCTAAAGGAAAAAATATTGAACGAACAATTTGACCATTTGATAATTTAAGGAGATTTTAATGGAGTGTTAAACAGAAAGCTGGATAAAACCAAAAAACATAAAAGATCAAAATCAGAAGAAGTAAGTTCATTACCCAAAACTTTCACAGCTTTAATGGAAGAATTTTGTTTGGGGGGATACTTGGTGACTTCACAATCCAGAAGAAAAAGACTTTACATACTACTCGAATAGACATTCTAGTTGGTCTAGAATAGACATGATATGGATGACAAAAACACTAAATGTGAAAGTAGACAAGATACAAATACTTCCGAGAGATTTATCCAACCACAGCGCTATGGAATTAACTATAACCCATAAAAGAGGAAGCAGAAAATGGCATTTAAATGAAAATCTCCTTAAATTGCAAGAGGATATAGACAAGATTAAAACTAAAACCAAGGAATACTTGGAAATTAATGAGCAAGGAGAAACTTGTGTACAAACTGTATGGGATGCCTATAAGGCAGTGATTAGAGGGCATTTGATCCAACAAAATGCAAGAAGAAACAGATTTAAGAATTTGAAAATAAAACAAATAAACGAGAAAATAGAAAATAATGAAAGAGAATTAAAAAAGAACCCAAGAAAGAAGGAAATAATAAGTAAATTGGAAAGATTGAAAACTGAAAAACATACTCTGGAGGTAGAAAACATGACCAAACATTTAAAATTTATCAAACAGGCATCATTTGTACGGTTCCGGTCCAGTGTATCTGTCCGAACGTATCTCCCGCTACGTCCCACCTCGGAGCTTGAGATCATCTGGGGAGGTCCTGCTCTCGACCCCACCACTCTCACAAGTGAGGCTGGTGGGGACGAGGAGCAGGGCCTTCTCAGTGGTGGCCCCTCACCTGTGGAACTCACTCCCCAGGGAAATCAGAGCATCACCGTCCCTCCTCTCCTTCAGGAGGAGGGTGAAAACTTGGTTATGGGACCAGGCCTTTGGGCAACCAGGCAATTAAAGACCAGCAGGATGGACGAAATGGTATTAAAAGCGGATCTATGAGACAGCAAACACTGACAACGTAAGGGAGGAATTTAGGTTTGTATTGATTTTATTGATTTTATTGATTTTTACTGGAATAATGCATGAAGCTGTTAGTAACTGTGAATTTTACTGTAAGTTGTGATGATTGTTGTGATGCTGGCATCTAATCGTGCCTTTACTGTGTAAGCCGCCCTGGGTCCCCTTCGGGGTGAGAAGGGCGGGGTAAAAGAACCCCAAATAAATAAATAAATAAATTTGAAAAAGCAAATAAAATAGGAAAGTGGCTAGCACGAAAGATAAGAAAAAAGAAACAATTCCAAGTAATATCTAAAATTAGACAAGGATATAAAACAATAACAAGAGAGAAAGATATAATGGAAGAATTTTAAATTTTTTACAAACAACTATACTCAAAGGAGACAATTGATAAAGATAAAATAATAAAATATTTGAGTAACCAGAAATTGGACAAGATCTCAGACAAACAGATAGAAGCCCTAAATAAAGAAATTTCAACAGAAGAAATTAAAAATGCAATAAAAAAACTTACACAATAATAAATCTCCAGGGCCGGACGGGTATGCGGCCGGCTTCTATAAAATGGTGCAGGAGGAGGTCCTAGATATCTTGAAAAAGGTTATGAATAAGGCTTCAACCAGTAGGGAAATTCCCGATTCTTGGAAAACAGCTGAAATTATACTGATCTACAAAGAAGGCACAGATCCAGAAGATCAAAAACATTATCGGCCAATTTCCTTGTTAAACACAGACTACATTTTTTTTACAAATATACTAGCAAATAGATTTAAAGAATTTTTAATGAATTGGTTTGAAGAAGATCAAAATGGATTCCTACCGAACAGACATATTAAAGACAATGTAAGAATTATCCTAAACACATTGGAATATTATGAGACCCATCACCAAAAATAGGCTGCTCTTCTCTCATTAGATGCAGAGAAAGCATTTGACAATTTGAGCTGGGATTTTTTCAAATTACACTTTCAAGAAATAGATATTGGTCATCAATTTCAAAATGCGATTAATTCAATTTATGAGGATGAACGAGCTAAATTAATAATTAATGGCAATAATATGGAAGAATTTGTGATAGAAAAAGGTACAAAACAGGGATACCCTCTGTCACCACTAATCTTCATTTTTGCTGTGGAAATACTACTAAGAAATATAAGAGAAGATAAGCAACTAAGAGGTCTTAAAATTGATAAACAAGAGTTTAAGGTAAGAGTATTTGCTGACGACATAATATGTATTATTGAAATCCCCAAAGAAAATATAACTCAATGGCTAAGGAAAATAGAAGAATTTGGAGTGGTTGCAGGCTTCAAAATCAACAAAAGAAAAACAATGATGTTGACTAAAAACATATCCCTGAGGAATCAAGAAATCTTAAAAGAAATTTCAGGATTATAAATTACGGGAAAACTGAAATACTTGGGGATATGGATTACACCAAGAAATGTACATCTACTGAAAAATAATTATATGGAAAAATGGAAAGAAATCAAAAAAGATTTGGAAAACTGGAAAAATCTCAATTTATCTTTATTAGGAAGGATTACTACGATAAAAATGAATGTACTTCCCAAACTTTTATACCTATTTCAAAACTTACCAATCATAAGAAACATCAACATTTTTAAAGAATGGAACAAGGATATAACAAAATTTATATGGAAAAATAAAAGACCTAGGATAAAATTTACAATATTGACTGATCATAAAAATAGAGGTGGCTTTGGACTTCCCAATCTAAAACTTTATTATGAAGCTAATGCTTTGACCTGCATTCGTGACTGGTCAAAATTGACTAAGATCAAAACTTTGACACTTGAGGGCTTCGACTTATGTAAAGGTTGGTACGAGGGTACAAAAATTGAAAAAAGAATTGGAAATCATTTCATAAGATCTTCATTAATTAAAATTTGGGAAAGATACAAAAGATACTTATTTACA